GCGTCGTGTTGCCTCAACTTCAAAGTATCTGTGATATCCTTCCTCAATTCAGGATGATTTAGCAAAAAATGCATCGAATACTGCACACATTTAATACGAATGGATACGCTAATATCGTTAAATCGTCCTAGAAATGCTCTCCATAACTGTGTATGCTGTACAGCCAATTGCGAACCCTTTTCAGAGAACATTCTCGCTAACAATGCCACAGCGCCCAATCTTTCAGTCTCGGAGGAGGATTTCAATTTGCACTCTAATTGTGGAAGGACGGACAGCAAGACACTCGGACATATGTGATTCAATTCGTAAATCAGATCATACACCTTCTTGCAAATCTGCAAACTCTTCTCCTCCTTGCCCAGTATCAAGACATGATTGAAGAACTGTAAAACGCGTAATATATGTTTACGGGAATGCGTACATTCGTTTCTTGACGGAAATCTTTCACGTTCTCGTTACTCACTGCTTGAATGTACGGTTCTAATGTATCGCTACATTTAATCACCAGCTCTTTAGCAAGCAAATACGCATTCTTTTTCTGCGTTTTGTTTGGCTCTACAATATTCATGAGTATAATATCCAGAAGTTCATTGCTGACAATATCCGATTCGGTAATCAGTGGGCACAGAACATCCAGCATGAAACTTTTAACTTTGCCAGAATGTTCATCACTAAAAACAGATTGCAGTGGCCACATTATATTTGTAGAAATTTTAACAGTTGTTTTCTTTTTTATTTTCAGATGTACTTACTTTACAATTTTGAACATGAGAGAAAATAATGCACAAAAAATCTCTTGGCAATCCTCTAACTCAAAGCACATATTAAATGATTTGACATAAGCTAAATTCTCAAGTAGGTAGAAATACCTCTTAAAGGCAGGATCTTTAGGATCTTTTAAACCTGCCAGTTGTTTAATAAGAAATAAAAATATTGTCTTGACCTAAAAAGTCATATTAAAAACAGCAATGTTAAATTATTTTATATAACCTAATTAATATTTATTATTTTAATTTATACAAATATAATAAAATTACTTGATATATTACTATTAATTAGAATTCATATCTTTACCTGATCAGCATCTTTATAAGGAGCCTCTGGTGCATAAACTCTTAAAACATCTGCAATACAGCAAGCAATTAATAGTTGTACATCTTTACTCTGATGCATCAGAAAGTGCTCTTCTGCCAAATGTAGCGCAAGTGGAATATATTGTTGGTACATTCCTTCATCTTGTCCCATAGCTTGTAATGTGTGTGCTAGTGTCTATACAGTTATTATATTTTAATGTTATATATTTTTGTACATAATATATATTGTTTATTCATAGCAGCACAAGATGTCATGCAAAAAATTATACCTTGAGTCTCCTAATTAATTCATCTGGACCTAAATCTTCACTGACCGATCTACACCCTGCTGGGTATACTATTTCTGACATGATGGTTACTTGATAAACCAATCAAATGTAACAAGCACTTTATTTTAATGTATTCTAAAACACGGTCCAAATTCTGCAATATAATATTTATTTATGCAACATTTCATACCATATAATTAATTTTTATATTATATTTTATAATATATATTCTAAATTTTTTTAAAATTTATAATATAGGAAAAATATGACTAATATTTTTAATGATTTCATTTCCTTTGCATGGTTCATATTAAATAATATACTACTGATATCTTATCTCATATGTGTGCTCTACTTTTGAAAGTATAATCATGTTTCAGAAAATACAACATATGCACAATATTTGAAGAAAAAGCAGGAAAAGTTTGCATAAATTTATATAAAATTACTAAAAATATTACATTATAATTTGAACAACAGTTTCCATACATGATATATTACAACTTTTTATACAACACATTTTAAATCTCATTTGTATATTATAACGGTAAATATTACCATAAAGTATATTTGTAATATAATATTATAAATACAGGATATTGTGGCAAAAGAACAATTGTGCATTTTGATATATTATAAAACAAAAGTATGTGATAATGATCTAAATATTAAATGCTGTAACAACTAATACAAACACTCTGTCAATTTTTGCAGACCACGTAAGCCTCTCTACAATACGATACATCTTTTAATTTATTTTACACAAGACATTAAGAAAAAAGTTCTCTTTACTTTATAAATAGGCGAGTGAAAGTATTACCAAAGGAAAATATATATTAAACTCAATGTCATTCATATTAATACATTAATAAGCGTACTATTGTTAGATAAATTTTTCCCTTTTTTTTTTTTTTCTTTGCAGAGTCCTTCCAACTCGAAAAAGTTATCCAATTGGTTTCGAGGTTATGTGCATTAGCCGTGCACGTATACAAGCCACGACGTAAACAAGATTCTCGTGTAACGAAGTTGGGGAGAAGTTTCGGGATACAAAAATGCCGCGGCGGAAAACAAGACGAGCGGTATTATTAATGCCGTTAAACATTACCTGGAGATATGCATAGGCCTGTGACACTCAAAATATTAATAAAGCAAATATATCCGCCAAGGGGTCTCGCTGCACTGTAGATCGCTTCTTTCGGAGAGTTCACTGTCCGGGCGAACAAGTCGCCAATTTCCGATTCCTTAATTTACTAAGTGCGCGCGTATCGTCTGCGACATAATTTGCGCGATTTTCTCGAAACACTTGGCATGGTCAGAACGACTGAAAATGTCAGCGGAGAAACAGTGGCGGAATCGGTTTCAATACGCGGTTAAGCGTGTCAAAGGACGCGAATTCGTTCGTCTGAAGTTGCCGACCACGGCGATGCGATGATGCGATGCGTCGCTGCATCACCAAAGTTGCATTCGAAAATTTATACTTACCGGAATAGAATAACCAATCAAAATAAAAGAGACCGAAAATTTCCTTGTCTTGATTGGTCAATCGTAACGCTATTTCACCCGACAATTAGATTTACGAATGCAACCCGGTCTGACTTGATTCCTCAAATTCTATTGGTCAACGCCCCGCAATCGTATGGCGCGAAGTTGCTGCTGTTTTGGACGACTTATCTCGACATAAAGGCTTTCTTGCATGTTTTCACAAGTCGCGATAGCAATTTTCGTTTAATTAGAACTAGCCAATGAAACGTTTCCTTCGTTAAATATTACACCCGCAGAGCGAATCACATTACATGTTTGGTGTTTCCACAAGTTATTTTAGTGGAAAATTTTTGAATCATATGTCATGAATAATTATCGTATATATTTCACACAAATTTTTTTATTAATTAGATTAACAAATTCTAATTTCAATTAAAATTAAATTTACGCATAATAATAGGTCTATTCTTTATAGCTGAACTGACTGCATTAGTTCAGAGTTTATCTTTCTCCTTCCAATGTGGAGAGAAAAAAATAAATTCTGAAATGCAGCCAGTTCACCTATAAAGAACAGATCTAATAATGGTTGTTCGATATATTCCCTTTTCGTCATAAGATGCGTTCCATTTAACGACCGCAACGTTCACGGTATCATTTCATCTTTGTTATTCACCGAAAGTTAAACAAAGATAGATAATGTTCGCGAGCGTTGCGGTATTAAGTGGAACGCGTCTATAATCGATAGTGCGTTATACACATATCCATACACACCACACACACACACCGAACACACACACACACACACCGAACACACACACACACACACCGAACACACACACACACACACCGAACACACACACACACACACCGAACACACACACACACACACCGAACACACACACACACACACCGAACACACACACACACACACCGAACACACACACACACACACCGAACACACACACACACACACCGAACACACACACACACACACCGAACACACACACACACACACCGAACACACACACACACACACCGAACACACACACACACACACCGAACACACACACACACACACCGAACACACACACACACACACCGAACACACACACACACACACCGAACACACACACACACACACCGAACACACACACACACACACCGAACACACACACACACACACCGAACACACACACACACACACCGAACACACACACACACACACCGAACACACACACACACACACCGAACACACACACACACACACCGAACACACACACACACACACCGAACACACACACACACACACCGAACACACACACACACACACCGAACACACACACACACACACCGAACACACACACACACACACCGAACACACACACACACACACCGAACACACACACACACACACCGAACACACACACACACACACCGAACACACACACACACACACCGAACACACACACACACACACCGAACACACACACACACACACCGAACACACACACACACACACCGAACACACACACACACACACCGAACACACACACACACAACACACATGTCAACGATATATAAACAGTATAACCTCCGGTATTTCGAGATGCTTGGAATAAATCAGTAGAAATGTCAATACAGCAGCCACAGTTGCTCACAATTTTCGATCCAGCAACATAAATCTCATCGGTTGCATCAAGTATCGGCAATATTTCCCGGCCAAATATGGAACTTATGCGAAATATTATTGGCCACAAACTGAGACGGTCGCTTCTGAAAGCGCCTGCAACACGCCTGCAACATGCGCGATATGTCAGGTACCGAAACGAGATAAATAAAATTTATTTTGTTGCCTTATATTATATACATTGTTGAGCATTCCGAATAATCTTTCTTTACGTAAATAAAAAATTTATTTCAAAATAATATTTCATACTAGTATCTATTATTATAAACTGATTTATCTCCCCCCTCTCTCTCTCTCTCTCTTTTTCGACACATTTATCTATTTATATTTATATGTAAGATTATAAAAGAAAGGATACAAAAATTTACTATTCTATGATCCATTAATTCAAATAATTTATGTAAAATGTGAAATATCTATCTTTACTTATAATATTTATGACTTATAGATTATAATGAAAAGAAAAAAGTATTATAAAGAATACTTAATTATGTCATACTAATATATGACAATAATTATTTTTATAGATTGGCAGAAGTTGGTAAATTGGAAACACCAAAGTTACAGGGAAAGTACGAGGCAGGTCAAATGATATTTCACAGGATCTTCAGTTATCGAGGTGTGATTCTATTTCCATGGTTGGCAAGAGTATATGACAGAGATATATCCAACAAAAAGGATGAGTATGTGCAAACATTTATAATTGCACGGATAAAAATATATCTACTTGTTTTTTTTATATACAAATACTATATAGGTAATCTGTGTGTTTATTTGTACAGAAAGAATAATTCCAACAATGTTGACGACAAGGATGTGAAAGGCAGAACACATACATTCTATCAAGTTTTAATTGATCAACGTGATTGTCCTTACATAGTAAGTAAAACCGAAAAAATTTTGTAATGATTGATTTCCTCATGTGTAACATTTTTGCATAACATGTCCAGCGTGCCCAAACAGAGGCAGTAACTTTTCTGGGCAATCATGAGAGTAGTCGCAGCTTATATGCTATTCCTGGATTAGATTATGTTGCTCATGAAGATGTATTACCATACACTACAAATGAAAAAGTGGCACTACAACATGAATTGTTTGATAAATTTCTAATTTATCATCCGGGTAAAGAACCATGTTTTGTACCACAAGAAACTCTTCGAGCATGGCAGAAAAAAAATCATCCATGGCTTGAGTTGTCGGATGTACATAAAGAAACGACTGAAAATATTCGAGTTACTGTTATACCATTTTATATGGGTTGCAGGGAGAGCCAGGCCACTACTGTATACTGGGTAAGTTAAAACAACGTTAAACTTCACATACATAACAGATGTAATTGAAAAATGTTTATTTTTATCTATTTCTTGCATTATAGTGGCGTTATTGTATCCGACTAGAAAACTTAGGTGAATTAAGTGTGCAGTTGCGTGAAAGGCATTGGAGAATATTTAGCTTATCAGGTACATTAGAAACTGTTAGAGGAAGAGGTGTAGTGGGCCAAGAGCCTGTGCTATCGAAAGCTTTGCCCGCTTTTCAATATAGCAGTCATGTGAGTTTGCAAGCTCCGAGTGGTCACATGTGGTAAGTACTGATTAACTAATTGTTATTAATATGAGGATGTTATTTCTTAATTATTTATTCAATATTAATTAATTCAATTTTTTCTGTTTGTAGGGGAACATTTAGGATGGAAAGAGAAGATGGATATGCGTTTGATTGTAGAATACCACCATTCTCTTTAGAATCAAAAGCGGAAGAATCATCCACGCCTAATGTAGAAATTTAATTTTTCAGAAGAAAACAGAATGAAATAATTGTAAGCAATGACTAGCTAGTTAAACATATAACAATTGTTAGATGGTGATACTATAGTTTCAAGTATAATCAGTGAATGGATAAACTTGACTAAGTGTAAATTTTGTGATAACTTTTGAAACCAGTTTCCACAAACCAAATTTAATAAAATTATAGTACATATTTTCTTTCAAAATCCTGTTATGATTTTCCATGTAAGAGGTAGGAAACATCACTTCTAGTTATTCATTTCCTAATTATTTCTTAGAGTAACATTTATTAATACATAAAGAGACTTAAAAAGTTATTTAATTATGCTTTTTAAACATAATAAGAAAGCAATATTTATATATACAAAAAATAGTTTGTTAACATGTGTTTTGCAATTTTATTGTTGTATAGTCACTTATTTTAAAAAATGAAGAAAATGTATATCTAAACTAAATTAATTCTAAACAAAATAATATTAATAAAAACGACAAACTAATTATATTATTTACATAGGAGCAAGTAACTCTTTTGCAACCTTTATTAAAATCTGTTTTATATTCAGACATCAGTTTGCTATATTTTTGGAAACCTTACACCAATTTTCATCATGATGACCTTCTGTGGCAACACATTTTTCTTTTATTGTCTTTTGTTCTTGTTTGGTGCCATTTAATAATTCGAACTTGTAGAAATATGCCCATGATCCACCAAAATCCGGGTCTATTTTCACTATTTAATTAAACGATACGATAATTATACCACAGATTAATAGACAGATAGCCAAAGGCCCGGATGAAGGCGAGACCGGTATTTCTCACTGGTTTCAGCGTCATACCGTAGTAGTGGCCAAAGCAGTAATTACGTTCCCAAAGTAAAGTAGTAATTTCGGCGTAATTTTGGCGTACAAGTTGCGTAAAAGCGGCGTAATTCCGGCGTAAAAGTTGCGTAAAAATGGCGTAATTTCGGCGTAAAAACGGCGTAATTTCGGCGTAAAAGCGGCGTGATCTCGGCGTAATTTTGGCGTACAAGTTGTGTAAAAGCGGCGTAATTTCGGCGTAATTTTGGCGTACAAGTTGCGTAAAAGCAGCGTAATTTCGGCGTAAAAGTGGCGTAAAAATGGCGTAAAAGCGGCGTAATTGCGAATTATACTTCAATAATAGTCGCGATCGCGTTTAGAGGAAGAATTCGATAATATACAAAGTGTTTCGCACCACTACTTCAGTGCTCGAACGTCGCCGCGCGAATGATAAGGCCCATAAGTCGTAACACGTTAACAATAGTACGCTAATGTTTACGCCGTCATGATAGAATACCATGTTATTAATAATTTGCTGCCGAAATAATTTTCGTACTATGGTATATACATATACAAGCGAAATGTTAAATCATACAGGTATTTTAAATAACAGATCATTTATTTAATAAAAGTCTAATATATCACGGAGCTTGTCGTTATGTTAATTACTCGGATTTGCGATTTGACTATATCATTGCGCATTTTCAATCCCAATCATATATTTAAATCGTCGAAAAGTCAAACGAATAAAAACCAGACGATACTGTAAGTATTTTTAAGGAAATAATTATTGGTTATAAAAAGAAAAAAAATCGCGAAAATAGAATTTGAGGCAGCATGTCGCACTGCTACTTTACTACTCGAGTGTCACCGTGCAAATGGTAACACGTAGGAAAGAGATTTGAGAGTCTCATTGATCGACATATAGAATAGACTGCTGTCAACTTTTCAAAATTTTGGACAACTATGCGCCATTACGTTATAGCTTGGATGTTTGGCAGGACGCAATTATGAACATTTAATTCTTATTCTTTTATTATTTTTGTATGCATCGTAATGTTTGTTATCAGATAGAAAAGAATGCGTCACACTTTTAAATTGACAATTTTAGCGCTCACGCACACTACTAGGCGCGCGGCTAAAGGTCAGCGCTCATTGGCCAGACTTTACTCAATAATAACTCCTTTAATAAGCAATATAGAAAAAAATGTTATAGGACTTTCCTATTGAGTTTACTGTGATCTACAGTTACGCCAAAACTACGCCAAATTTACGCAACTTGTACGCCAAAATTACGCCAAAGTTACGCCGCTTTTACGGCAAAGTTACGCCGAAGTTACGCCAAAGTTACGCCGCTTTTACGCCAAATTTATGCAACAGTTACGCCAAAACTACGCCGAATTTACGCAACTTGTACGCCAAAATTACGCCGAATTTACGCCGCTTTTACGCCGAATTTACGCAACTTGTACGCCAAAATTACGCCGAAGTTACGCCGCTTATACGCCAAAGTTACGCCGAAGTTGCGCCAAAATTACGCCGAATTCGCGCGACTTGTACGTCAAAATTACGCCGAATTCGCGCCGCTTTTACGCAACAGTTACGCCAAAATTACGCTGAAGTTACGCCAAATTTACGCAACAGTTACGCCGAAATTACGCCAAGATTACGCCGAAGTTACGCCGCTTTTACGCCAAATTTACGCAACTTGTACGCCAAAATTACGCCGAAGTTACGCCGCTTTTACGCCAAAGTTACGCCGAGATTACGCAACAGTTACGCCGAAGTTACGCCGCTTTTACGCCAAAGTTACGCCAAATTTACGCAACTTGTACGTCAAAATTACGCCGAAGTTACGTCGGTTTTACGCCAAATTTACGCCGCTTTTACGCCAAATTTATGCAACAGTTACGCCAAAACTATGCCGAATTGTCGCAACTTGTACGCCGAAATTACGCCGAAGTTACGCCGAAGTTACGCAACAGTTACGCCGAAGTTACGCCGCTTTTACGCCAGATTTACGCAACAGTTACGCCAAAATTACGCCGAAATTGCGCAACTTGTACGCCAAAATTACGCCGAAGTTACGCAACAGTTACGCCGAAGTTACGCCGCTTTTACGCCAAATTTATGCAACTTGTACGTCAAAATTACGCCGAAGTTACGCAGCAGTTACGCAACAGTTACGCCAAAATTACGCCGAATTTACGCCGCTTTTACGCCAAATTTACGCAATTTGTACGTCAAAATTACGCCGAGTTTGCGCCGCTTTTACGCAACAGTTACGCCAAAATTACGCCGAATTTACGATTCTTTTTTATCCGATAATAAACATTACGATACATAAAAATAATAAAGGAATTATTTTTAAAATAAAATATAAATATAATATAAAATAAAATAATAAAACAAGTACGTAAATGGGCTTAAGGAGCATGCAAACATCAAGTAAATATAAACAGCTTACAGAAATAAATAATATTACGGTAAATACGGTCAAAAAAGTTAAATATTAACGGTCAATAAGTAAAAATATAAATTCGGATAGTCAATAAATATTTAACTTTTTTGACCGTATTTACCGTAATTTTTTATTTTTATCACTGAAGAGAGTCCAGTTGTGGACAGAAACGTTTGTTTATTTGCGACCTGCGTTATATTTGTTATTTTAATCGTTAAAACTTGCGGCATTATGAACAAAAGCATTGTAATCCTAGTGTTAAACTTTAACGGTTCCGGCATAAATTAACAGTTACGGCCTGCATAAACCAGTCTTAAGACTTAAGACTTAGGGCCGTGGCACATAAAAAAACTTAAGCAGTAAGACTTAAGACGTAAGCGAATTGACCAATCACGGTCGAACAGTAAGGCAGCCATATTGAAACGTAAGCTACGCTGAAAATTCCGTATGGTTGAAATTCTTAAATCTTAAGTCTTACTGCTTAAGTTTTTCTACGTGCCACGGCCCTAAGACTTAAGACGTAAGCGAATTGACCAATCACGGTCGAACAGTAAGGCAGCCATATTGAAACGTAAGCTACGCTGAAAATTCCGTATGGTTGAAATTCTTAAATCTTAAGTCTTACTGCTTAAGTTTTTCTACGTGCCACGGCCCTAAGACTTAAGACGTAAGCGAATTGACCAATCACGGTCGAACAGTAAGGCAGCCATATTGAAACGTAAGCTACGCTGAAAATTCCGTATGGTTGAAATTCTTAAGTCTTAAGTCTCTTCAATCTCAATCTTCAATGCGTAGTCTGATACTGGCTTTAAGCGTGCTTTCGGAACGTAGCCGTAGGGTGTGTTCGGGGAGCACGCTTTTAGCGCTATGAGCGTGCTTTGTCCTTGTTCAATTTTCAGTAAATAACAAAGATAGAATGACGATTTTAGCGCGTAAGCGTGCTACCCGAACGCAGCCCTAGGGTGCGTTCCGTTTTACGCATTGAACGCATAGATCGCCTGGAAATCTATAGTTCACGAAACATATATTATAGATTTCCAGCCGATCTATGCGCTCAATGCGTGAAACGGAACGCACCCCTAGTCTATCGATCATGGGATAAAAGCATAGACATAGTATATCTAGACCAAGCGTTTGCCTTTATTTAAGGAGTGGGGGTACTATGCGTGCGACCATAGATATATTATATATCTATGCGTGCGATCTGCGCCGTTTCTATAAACGACGCTTTGAACGTAGCCTAACCGCAGCGTGATATAGATACAACTCGTACAACATACAACTTCTTGGCGTCGCCTGAATTGCTTGGAATTGCTTACTATATCCGTTACAATGGTTGTTTGTAAGTTACATACATCATATTACATACATCAAAAATTTTTCATCGTAGAAAATATTCAATATGAAATACTAATCTAAAAAAAGAAACTTGATTAGATATGAGAACTATATGTAAGAGTGTAACTGACCAACCTTAACCTTTCCGAATGTGCTCGATTTTTTGCTCCGAAACAAGCCACACCCCTTTGGCGCTATTAATAATTTTAAAATCAACATATATTCATTAGCCGTTATAGCATCGCGCAAATATTTACTTACTAGTATCTTCGCGTAAATAAATCTTCAAGGTCATGATAAAGATATGATAAAGATTTTTTCGTTTGTCATAACACGCAATTGCAATGATCTAAAATTACATATAGCTAAACCATGTAGAATTAACATTGAACATTTTTCTTTTCTTTTCTTTTCTTTCTTTTCTTAGGTTCTCTAACACAAGATGTTCTTAATCATCTGCGTGCAAAGTTTTATGCCGACGACCGTAACGTGTTAGCGCAAAATGTCTGCACGAAAATGAATCCTATTGAAGCCTGCTCCTCGAGGAAGATTTTAGAGGAGACCAGTCATGTTTTCACTGATAAGATCGAGATTGAAGGCAAACCTGTAACTAATCAGAAAAATTCTGGAAGATGCTGGTTGTTTGCTATCTTAAATGTCATGAGGACTAGCTTCATGAAAGAATATAATTTAGATGAGTTTGAGTTTAGCCAGGCTTACTTGTTTTTCTGGGATAAAGTATGTATATGCCATTTATACGAGACAATATTATATATAAGTCTTGTTTTATTATTATATATTCAATTATTACATGCAATAATATTTTTCCTATAGGTAGAACGTTGCAATTATTTTTTGCATAATATCGTGAACACTGCAAAACGCGGCGAACCGGTTGAAGGCCGTTTAGTTAACTTTTTATTGACCGATCCGACTTCCGATGGCGGCCAATGGGATATGATTGTAAACCTGATAACTAAATACGGTGTTGTACCAAAATCATGTTTCCCAGAATCGTACAGTTGCGAAGCCAGTGTTCGCATGAATAGTTTGTTGAAGAGTAAACTAAGAGAGTATGCTAAAGCTCTGCGAAACATGATTGAGAATGGTGCTTCTGATGAGGAATTGAAGACGCGAATAAGCGAGCAGATGACTGTGATTTACCGAATAATCGGCATTTGTTTGGGTATACCCTCTGAGAAGATTGTATGGGAATACTACGATAAATCGAAGAATTACAATCGTATAGGACCCATTACTCCATTGGAGTTTTATGAGATCTATGTGAAACTACATTACAACGTGGACGATAAAATATGCTTGGTGACCGATCCCCGGCCGGGTAATCCTTACGGGAAATTATATACCGTGGATTGTTTGGGAAATGTTGTAGATGGAAAAACTACTCGCTACAATAATCAACCAGTTGAATTGCTGATGAAACTATGTGCACAGAGTATTCAAGATAACGAGCCCGTTTGGTTTGGTTGCGATGTTAACAAAAGATTAATAGATAAGCATGGTATCCATGATTTAAAAACTTATAACTTTGAGCTGATGTTTGGCACGGATATTCATCTTGGACTTTCTAAGGCTGATAGACTGCTTTATGGTGATTCCATGATGGTGCATGCAATGATTTTTACAGCTGTTTCAATAGATGTAAGTATTTTTGCAAATAGTACAAGTAATAAATTTTATTAGGTTAAGTAATAAATTAATAGGTTATTTAACATGGGGATACTACTCTTTTAGCTTCAAAATGGTAAGATAAAGAAGTTTCGGATAGAAAATTCATGGGGTGAGGATCATGGGCAAAAAGGTTATCAGGTCGTATCCCCTGAATGGTTCAGCGAATTCGTCTTTGAGGCGGTTGTAGATAAAAAATACGTACCTGAGGACGTGCTTGCTGTATTTAATCAGGAACCTATCGTTTTACCTGCCTGGGATCCCATGGGCACACTCGCTCATTGATGTTAAAGTAGATTTAATTAAATGCAGTGGTAAGCTGTTTTAATTTACAGATGAAAGATTTGAGGCATAATATGAAGAATGAAATATTTAATAAAAATTCGATACAGCGAGTGTACAAAATATAGATATTTTATACCTTACAAGAGAATGTAGTAGTATTGATAAGTGGCTTCGTCATTTATATGAATTTCAAGTCTATCTCTTCTTTATTACATATATGAAGGCATTGTTTAGGTCAATTATCAAGACTGAATGCATGAGTTACCATATTTGAAATTATGAATTATAAATGGTTATTATTTTTTTTTACACGTGCATAAAACTGCAGTTTCTAATCATTCGTGTAACATTTGCTAAATCATTCCAATATTTCTTTTTTAATGCGATAAACTACATCAACCTCTCAAAACCAAAAATAAATATTCAAACCAAACAATTTTATATATTATATTACATACTTACAAGTTGAAGAATTTTCGTTATCTAAGTAAGTGCAGCAATGTATGATGTAATATAGAGGAATTTGTACCTCTGTATATGTTAATTTTTAAATTACATGCACATATTACAACATAAAGCAATAGATGAATTATAAATATATATGCGCGTGTATGTATAAATAGATATGTCAAATTTATAATAAATACTTGCCAATGATTGATGCAAATGTTTGCTCAATAGATCAATTTGCATTTATTACTACCTATTGTTTTTTGGTTGGGTTATAAGCAATATATAACATTTATTTTAATTAAGAAGAAAATGTTCAATAAATTGTAGAGAACTGTGCTTGTAAAATAATATATTATTAACATACTTAAAAACACACATACAAAGTTCAAATTTCCTATATTTTTGAGGATATATGCAAAGTTTTAAGTGATACAGACTCCTTTTGTTTGTATTGTTTATAATTATGTCGCAACTTGGCCCATATACCCAGACACATATTTTGTAAACGCACATCCTTCTCTCTGAGTGCAAATTTGTAAATTCTCTGTATCATGTATTTTGGGGTAGTAAAGCAACCACGTTGAATTAAGCTTAAAGCAGAATATAATCTGCAACGAGCAACAAGGAGAGGATTATCAAGACGTAATGCTAATTCAAACTGTCTCACTGAAATTTTGCCTGCTATTTCAGCCTATGCGAGAGAAACATTATAGATTAATTGTAGCATAGTAACTATGTAACTTGACAAAACAAAAAATGCAGCCGCAACTTACACAATGTTTAAATTCTTCCCCCAATGCAGAAAATGCTCCTCCCAATGTGGACAACCAAGACATAGCACAATCAGTTTCTTGCTTTTCCAAAACCATTTGCATTAATTTTTCGTTCCTAAGAAAATATAAATGTAAAAAAGAAAACTGTAGTTTATCATACAATTTGAAAATTGTATTATAAGATCACTGATAAAACTTGCCATTTGTAATCTAAAAATTGTTTTTTTGGCATTCTCAATCTTATAAATATTATCTGTAAATATCCTTCATCAAATGCTAAGTTATTACAAGTCCGCAGAAATGTTTTCAACACTTTCATAGCACTTTTACGATAAACAAATGATTTTGACAACGTTACAATGTAAGCTGAGACGAGGTAGGAATTGAGTCCCTTTGCACATAGACAAACTGGCTTTGCTACGTTTTTATATGTATTTTCAATATTATCCCCTGCAGGTCCTTTGAATCGTTCACCGATATCGTATTTAAATACTGCTTGTAGTCTGACAATAATATCATTGAAAATCATATTATCCCTATATATAATCAATCGTAGACGAACATCCATTTCCCGTCTTAATTTATGTAATTCTATAATATTTTGCAGCGTTATCGTACTCGGTCCTTTCATCATGACGCTAAAATTTAGTGATAAAGTTTATTCAGATGATAGTTCTCTATCTAGATTTTCATGATTAATTGGAAATTGTTAAATCTAAAATTTATCTAAAACAGGGCTTTATAAATGTAAATCCCATTATTTGTATTCCATTGACGATTACTCGAATCGATTTGTGGAATTAAGGTTATAATATCGTTTAATGCAACGTGATATGTACGCATGACATGTATCACACAGATGACATAAGAAATGACATGGATTCAGACTAAGATACTGAATACTGAGAATCATCTGCGAATGTAATCGCTAACAGCGAATTTGATCGCCCGTACTGTACTCTGTACCGCACGTGACTGCACTAACGCATACTAAAGGCTGTTATATATGAAATATCTAATGCAATATGGCATAATATATAAACACTTGATGAAATAATTAATATATATTTTGCTAAATAATGTGAGCAATAATAATACACAATGTTATGAGATTTTAATTCTTTAAAATGTTTATATTATATCTTTTTATATTTAGACAACTTATTCATATGTATAGCAGCCTTTAGTATGCACTAGTGTAGGTGACTGAATTCGCTATAAATTTCCCTAGTCTGCTATCGCTTTAGTTATCATATCTTGCGTGTGGCTGCACTCGGCACGATTTTTTATGAATATTTTTCTGGAACGAAAAGTTTACACATGTGTTGAAAGTAGATTTAAAACAGGTTCAACGCCGCGCGATCGATAAATCAATAAACATTTCGTCGACAATAATAACTTCGACGAAAGGTTAAACATTTTCGCGCGTTTTTTGCATGTCGATTATTTATCAATCGTATTATCTATGTATATTGTGAAACGACGTTTGTATTCTATTTAAAGAGTCTATTTAAAGGAGACTAGGAGTTCCCGATATCGGCGCTATTCCAGAAAAATGTTAAAGGTACGATTTTAGATAAAAATTTAGTTCAAGGTTCTTTTCTACAACGTTTTAGTATGCAAATTTAAATATATGTATATCAAATCAACGTCAAGGCAAAATTTACCTCGGTGATGGTATTCAGAATTTAATTACAAAGTAATATGTTACACAGATATCTTCGAGAATAAATTACATCATAAACAGCAACAGTATAGACAATAATTACGTTATTATATTTGCGATGGAATATACGTTATGTGTGTGTATGTTTTGTATTCGTAGGTGTGTTACATATGTGTATGTAGGCGCGCGCGCGCTTTGCTTAAAGTCATATATAGTTTAAAATATTGCTTGTACGACTAAAAACATCGTTAATATTAGAAATGCCATTATATTTGAATAATATACATTATTTTTCATATATAGCAGTAGATTATCCTATACAGCACAGAACATTGCGGCAACATTGCGGTAATGTTGCTGCAATGCTCTGTGCTGAGGTGTTATTTCTTGCATTATTTCTGTGTGTACATGTATATAGAATGGAAGAATTTTTAAACATGCAATAGAATGAGAAGCTTAACCCTCCGTGGATTAATATTATTTGAGATGAGTAACATATCACGTAGAATATATTTTTTATAATAAATTTAATGATTGTATCGTCATGTGGAGCTCTGTGACCGTTTACTTTTGAAAATATAAAATTAAATTAAATTTTATTAAAATTTTTGTAAAAAAAAACTTCGTGCTTCATTCGAAAATGAGAAAAGATATAATGATTTCATCCAAAGAGGGGGTTATAAATATCTCGAAACGCGATTACCATGTTTTATAAGAAATAATCGAAAGCAAGGCACTTAATACAATTTATTGTTTTAAATCGTAATGCAATGAAAAACGGCGAATATGTTTTAGCTTACAGATAGACACAATCGTTATACATACATATATACATATAGATATATACATATACATATACATATATATATATATATATACAATTAAGTTTCGAGACTTTCGTATGAAAAATTTATTTTTAATCGTACAAATCTTAGATAGTTAAAAAATTTTAATGATTTCATCCAAAGAGGGTTATAAATATCTCGAAACGCGATTACCATGTTTTATAAGAAATAATCGAAAGCAAGGCACTTAATACAATTTATTGTTTTAAATCGTAATGCAATGAAAAACGGCGAATATGTTTTAGCTTACAGATAGACACAATCGTTATACATACATATATACATATAGATATATACATATACATATACATATATATATATATATATATATATATATATATATATATACATATATATATATATATATATATATATATATATATATATATATATATATATATATATATATATATATATATATATATATATATATATATATATATATATATATATATATATATAAACATAAATATATATATGTATATTATATGTCGCTAAAAACTTAAAAACACAAACAGAATAAGACAAAACTATTCGATAATAAAATGTATCCGCTGTTCACTTATTATTACGCGGCATTAGAACTTAGATCTAGAAAAATAGAGCGTAAACTATATATATTTGATGATAAAATATATATATATACGGTTGCTAGAAGATTATAATATCTCTAAATCGATGTAAAACAATATCACATTATTTGCATAGTAGGAAAGTTTATCACCGGCTCATTCGGTTCGCCAACATGCATTTTTCACATCTGATATGTCGATATTGTCAAAGATGTAAGCGCAAAGCCTTGATTGCCAGAAATACATTCGTGTCTACATAACAATGCTAAATTTGTCAACAATATTCGTGTATATACATTTCATAATATATGTATTATCGTAACAATATATTGGGCTTTCAGCGACAAAGAGAACGTCGCGCAATATATGAAAGAATCAATAACAATTACAAGATCAAAAATATATCACGAGAAAAATATCAATATATGATGCAACAATTGAACTTTATACACGCAATTTAACAATCGTAAATCTATCGAATCCTTACGTATATATGCTGGACGCTTACTGCTTATTATCTTTTCTTATAGGATTACGCAGCCTTCCCTACAAAACTGTAAAACTTATGCCATGAAATTTTTGGAAAATTTCTTGGTTATACTTACACAAATAACACATTTGTAAAATATATTTTTATACGAATTTTTTATATATTTAAAATGGAAGATACGAATTAGAATTTAATTAATAATCATATCTTATACGAATTTATCGTCCAGCCGAGATCCGTTAATTAGTATAATTTATTTCGTTAATTGTAAATCGATGCACAGTGGCGATTTTTCGGAAGCTCCGATTACTTCTTCAGGAACTTCCGCATTTGCTTCGTCTGATGTTGCATACTATATTGTGCATTTTCAGCCTTCGTAACCAGAATATCCAGCTTATCCAGATGAGACACCATTTTCCGATCGAGATCAATTTGTTTCGGATGGACGCCGCTATTCGCAGGATTATTCACAGCATCCGCGGTAATATCATCCGACGTTTCCACCATCATCACCTCATCTGCTGCAGGTCCTGGCTCCTTTTGGACCTCCTGATTGCCATCGGGAGTCGGCTCCTCGGGCTTGTGATGCGGCGTACCACTGCGAGAGCCCACCTTCACTTTGAGCAACGATCCCAGACTGCCGCAAACTGTCTATAAAATTTTTTTATTTCAGGTAAGAATTTTCTGGTGTGCACAAATGCACGTAATATCGATTAGTAAGTTGTCGGTATGCGTAAAATGTTATATTATTACGATTTCTGCCTGAAATAATTTGTTTAGCCGGCCGATAAAATCAAAGTGTAGCGAGAAAAAAAGCGTTATCAGTTTGCGACCGGGTAAGGATATAAAGCATTCCGTCGTATCAGTCGTAAAAATTCCGCGCTATCGTTATGACAAAATAATAATTAATTCGAGCGAACATGAGCGAAATGAGCGCACGAGCCCGCTCAACAATTAATTATCCTGAGTCACCTTGAATCTATTGAGCTTCTTCTGCGTGTTACTCAAAATGCTGTTCAGCTCGTCCAGCCCACCGCCGACGCGTCTGGTCTTCTCGTCCGCGTAATCCAAATCCTGAGATAAAAATCGTCGTAAGAGGAATTATACTGTGACACGCAAACGCAAGGCGTTAATGAACTCGTGATTCGACGTCAGCGATTTATTCCCGACAATCTGGCTTGCACGTGGACGCGCAACCAGATTCTGCCGCGTAATGTCTATCGCGAACATGATATTGACATAAGTGTATTAGGCTTTCGTAGATATGTAAAGAGATGGACGAAAGAAGAGGAATTGCACCGCATGCAAAGTGTGTATTGTTTGAATCGCTTTTGACATTTGAGCGTTTATTTACTTATTCGGTGTGATGTTCAATCTTAAATTTTATTAATTTATAATTAATAGGAAACACATTAATATAATTGTTGATGGATGTCGATTAGTTGATAAAAATTTATTATTTTCCGCGCCTCTTTTCGACATGTTCTTAGCTTATGATTTATGAATTTTTATAGTCTTAGCTTTAAATAAAGTACGATTACCTGTAATGCACTGTCGTCGTCATCGTCGCAACGATTTTCGTTCTGCGCCGCCTCCGCCTGTGTCTGTTTCCACTCCTCCTCGCTGGGCTTCGACAAACCCAATAATTCTGCCCTCGCACAAGCAAGCTGATAGTCCTCAGACATTATACTAAGTTCTAGCTATATGACAACGGGTTATACCCAGCCGCAAATCGGAGACTATCGTTGTAATGACAGGGCGAACGATCGTTCGCGAGTACTCTCGGACGCGAAATTCCGTTAAAATTGCTGCACCCTTAGCATGAGACATGCATTACTCGGGGAATCCATATTAGGATAGAAACTGCGCAAGCTCGACCGATCGTCGAGGTGGGCAGAATTTTAGATAAAGCTTATATGCGGAGCGCTTGTTTTCGCAAGCTATGATATTTTTCATCTTATTGAAATGATTTAAGCTAATTTTAAATATATATTAATTTTCAATACTGTAAGCTGCATTAAGAAATAGAAAAATTGAATAATATATAAATAAGAATGTCTTCGAAAAATTTCAAATTTTGAAGAACTATGTAAGGCAACTATGATAATAACAAATAGTATTGGATTACAAGTTAGAGAGTTAGATATATGCAATTAATTTTATAAAAGCAATTTATATAACTACATGGATTATGAGAAAAAAGCATTAGATCGTGAGATAAGTATGAGTGGAACTCGAGTTCTCAGGACGGCGCAACATATCGTCGCGATAACGAGCTCATATAATTAATTTCAATCCCATCGATACACTCGATACTAGTCCACACAACGCTGCTACACACGTCCTCACCCACGTGCACATCGTAAAGACATTCATGTGCACCTTATATAAGCTACGCGACAACTTGATCGGTTTGCATTGTTGTCGGAGCGAACTGCATCGTCTCGCGAGTGACTTGCGTGAATTATGGCACTAACAATGTCATCTCAATTCGTAATACGGGGAATCGGATGCACTTGGACCATGCTGCTTGTGTTATCCGTGCAGGTGAGATAGGGATGTCTGACCTTATTGAAACAAGTGGAAAATTAAAGGAAAAAAAGAGAGAGAGAAGGAGAAAGAAAGAGGAAGATAATGGTCGGAGATAATAATAAAGAGAGATTTTTAATATATTTTAACTATTTATTTTTATATGAATATAAAGAATTATAATTTTTAATATTTAAATAAAAAAAAATTTATATTGGTTAGGCGGTTAATAAAAATAAACATTTTAA